TCGCCGGGAACAGTGGTGGTGGTGGTAGTGGTGGAGGGGCAGGGGGGGATCGGTTGAAGGGTAACAGTCCAGGTAGTCGCGAGGCAAAAGGCTGACTGATCGAGGGGTCAGTGATGTGGTGTCGGTCCAGTCGTGGACGTTGTGTAGGCGGGCCATCCATTGTGAGGTTGAGTGCATTTCTGTGGAAGGTGTGTTTGGATTGTCCTCGACGTTTAGACTACTGCTTTGATGGGGAGGACAAAGGGGGGGTCATCCCACAGGTTGTGCTCCTCAAGTACGCAGTCAAGGAAGATCTGCATAAACACAAGAGTCTGTCTGAGCGACCACTCAGCGCTAGCCCTGAAGCAAGAGGGAGTGAGGTCCATGAGCCGACTGTGGTTAAACCAGTTGAAGCCATTAGAGATTTTCTGCAGTCTGACGTTAGGGTCAACCAACAGGAAAATTGGGATGATTCCCTTGGGTAATGAGAGTGACTTAGGGAGCACCGCCCCCTGCACCCCTACAGTGGTTGTCTCCTTCAGCCAGTACTTTAGTCTTTTTAAAATGACCGCAGTGGAGGGGCTGCCCCTCCAACCATCGACTGTGAGGCCATTCGGCTTGGCGTCGCGGAGAGCATGGGTATCCTGCTGTGGGGGTCGCAGGCCCAACACCCACTTGCCTCCTTCTGCCACCCTCGTGATTGGGAAGATGACCACTCCCGGCGGCATAGCGACCGGTGTGCTGTCATCTTCCTGGCGCCGCACCAGGTCCCTCAGCTTTTTGAAGGCAGGTACGACATAGCAGCCATCTCCAGATGGCAGCGGGGAACTGTTCTCGTCGTCATCATCATCATCGTGGATGATTTCCACCGCAGTGAGTTGTCGGGAGGGTGTAGGGGTCATCTCGGTTTTCGATCCCTCCAGCAGGTGGGGAGCGTCCCGAAGCGGTCGGGCGTCTTGTAGAGCAGGGAGGCCCTGGTTACTCACAACCGGTGGAGTGTGCAAGGTTACGCAGAGTTCATGCACAAGGGCCTTAGGCCAGGCCCTCATGGAGGAACGCCTCGTCACAAGGAGCAGTCTGTGGGCTTCCCAGGTGGGCAGCGTTCTCATTGCGACACTTCCTGGCAAAGGCATTTATCTTATCCAGGAATTCATTAACTACCATAACAATGGCTGCCCCCACATCCATCCAGTCTATGGTAGTGACGGTCTTATATTTTTCCACCGTTGCGAGGACCCTCGGGCTGTACATGAGCACTGTCATCGCCTCCCCCCAATATTTCGTTTTGAGCCTGTCCTCTGGTCTATCATCCGTAAGCGAGAAAATTTTAGTGAGGGTCCAGTCGGTCAAGAAGTGAAGCTTCTGTGTGACTTCTTCATTGGCAGACAGGGGCGGGGGKGGGGGGGCCAGCTCCGTGGACTGCGAAGACGCCAGTGGGGGGGATTCAAGCTCCATCGCCACGGGTATGGACTGGTCGGATTGTTGGATCCGTGGCTGGTCCTCTGGGGCCGACGTGTCCATATCTTGGAGGGCGTTTCCCTCGGTTTGGACATCCAGCCCCCCACAGATCATATGTTGGTTGGGGGGCTGGTGCAGCACCTGGGCGACATGCTGAGCACCTTGTTGCTGCCAGAACATGTGCAGTTGCTCTTGTTGCTGTTGCAGCACTTGTTGTTGCTGGCAACAGAGCTGTTGCTGCCATTGCAGGTGCATTTGTTGAAAAATCTGCCATTGGTGTATTAGCCTCTGTTGGTGTTGCTGTTGGTGGTACTGTGCCATTTGGGCTTGCAAGAGGATATGAAGCTGCTGCTCACATTCTTGTCGCTGCATGGCCTGTTGCTGTTGTTGATGATGGATTTCCTGGGCCTGCAGCTGCGCCTGGCATACCAGCTGTGCTTGGGCTTGGCGTTGGAACAGTAGCTGTTGTTGCTGTTGTTCGTGATGTTGCAGTTGCTGTTCCACTTGCGCGTGCAAATGTTGTTGTTTTTGGAGCTCACCGCAGTATAGGTGCTGCTGTTGCTCCATGTCCTGGCCATGTTGATGGACGTTACAGCCATTCATGTGTTGCGGTTGGTCCATAGGGGGGTGTCGGTATTCGGGTTCCATTCCGCATCCCTGTGGCCTGTCCTGGCCGTGTTGGGGTTGGTGCTGTTCCTCCTGTGTTGGCAGGCACAATTGCTGATTTTGGCACGGAGTGCCCAGGTCCCGAGCCGTCTGAATGTGGGGCTGCCCAGGATCCTGTTGCCGGTTCTGGCATGGCAACCCCGACTCCTTTTCCATATGGGTGTGTGGCTCCAGGCACAGCCGCTGGTCGCAGCTCAACAATCCGTGGTCCCCACCCATGGGGAGGGGTAACTGGTGAGGGAGGGGCTGCAGGTACTGCATTTCCTCCTCAAGGCGGTGGTGTTGGCCGGAGTGCTGGTGTGGTTGTTGCTGGTCCATTAGCCCTGCGTGGTCCTGGTGATGAACCTGGCAGGCCAGGTGTGGGTGTGTCCCCAGCGGCTGGTCCTGGCCCATCAGCCCCTGCTTCACTCCCATATGTGTGTGAGTTTGGGAATGTTGATGGTTTTTGTCCTCCCCTTGGCACTGAAGCCGGTCACAGTGGTGGCCTGCATGTTGCTGCTCCTCCTGCAACGCCTGGTCCAAGTACTGATCCTGTCGGACCAGGTGTTGCAGTAACACCCGCTCCCCGTCATCCTCTTGCCTTGTGGGGGGCCCTTGCTGTGGGAGCTGGCTGGCCAGATCTCGGTGCGTCACCATCTGCTGCTCCTGGCCCAGCAGCCCCTGCTCGCCTCCCGTGGGCACTTGTTTATACTGGGGAGGGGGGTGTTGGTGCTGCTTATCTTCCCCAAGGCACATCTGTTGATCATAACCCACCTTCCCAGGAGGGCCGTCCTGAGGGATTGGCAAATCTGTGTCTGGGGCAGTCAAAGGCAGGAGGACAGCCGGTTCCAATCGAGGGTAGGAAGCAACTGCTCCTTTGACTTTATTGATAAGCGAGATAGCTGTGAGCCATCTGTGCTGCAGAGATGGTTGATCGGTAGTTGATTTTGGTACAGTGGCAGGGGCCAGGGTCTTAGATCGGTGATGGTCAGTGACAATGGACCGTTGCTCTTTCCTGTCTTTCTCTGCCCCAAGTCCTTCAATGGCAGGAGGGGGCCGTGGTCCCGAGGAGGCAGAGGGAGGGGGTGGGAGCGAGGGGGGAGCCAGAGCTGGCGCTGAATGAGAGTGGATGTGCGAGTGCAGGTGGGTGACCTCAGTCTCAGGTCGTGCACCATCCAAGCTCTGCTCCCCTTTCACTTTTGAACTGCTATCAGGCGAGGGGCACGCAGTGACTATAGGGCGTGTACAATCCAAGCTCTGCTCCCCTGCCTTTTTTGTACTGCTGTCAGGTGAGGGGTGCGCAGTCCCTTGATCCCGAGGGCGTGCACCATCCAAGTTCTGCTCCCCTGCCTTTTTTGTACTGCTGTCAGGTGAGGGGCGTGCAGTCCCTTGATCCCGAGGTTGCTTGCTGCCCTTGGCCGCTTCCCCTGTCAGTTTTGGGCTGGGCAGCTTGCCACCCGGGGTCCCAATTATCTTTGGCCTGTATGACACGTGGGGGCGAGGCGGGGGCGGCTTACTGCGTGTCCGGGGGGTCCCTGGTTCCCCAGTGGCAGTTGCGCCACCACCGACGCTAGTGCGTGGAGACCTATCGCCTTTCCCACTGTTCCCAGGTCCTGGGGTGGCTTCGTCTTTGCCTTTTTGTTTGGGATCATTGTTAACTTGTACCCTTGCTCCGGAAGGGAATGGTTGCCCTTCACCTTGCCAGATCCATTTCCCAGGGCGGCCATCTTCATATGCCCCAAAGATCCACCCATGAAGTTCTTCCTCTTCCGGGTACCACCATTCTTCATCGGTAGGGTGAGGGGTCACCAGCCCTCTGATCTTTGGTCTATTACAGTTGGGGCATATGTCGTCACTGCATAGGTGGCTTCTCTTCTTGCACACATAACACCACGGGTCCTGGGTGTGGCTGACGGGGACTGAGAACTCCTTTCCCCCCTGAGAATATCTCCATTCTTCGTTGAGGGGGAAAGGGTAATCCGAATCCCAGTCAACAGCCACAAGGAGGGAGTCATCCCTCTTTCCCAAAAACCGTGGTAAATCCGTGATGTATACTTTTACTGGAGCGATGTTCTCAAGGTCAGTGAGGATTGCCCCCTGTACGCAGAGGGGAGCAAATCTGAACTCGACCCAGAAGTTAGACTTCATGAGACACTCTCGTCTGTCATCACTTGACTGTGGATTTGCAGGGGTCCATGCAGAGACTTGCACAGGACTGCCTCTAAATTGCAACGTACTGTTCTTCAGAATGAGATGTCTGTCCGTCGAATACAAGGCGAGCATAGTGATGCAGTCGGAGCTCTCAACTTCAATAAGGAAATGGTCGTGAACGAGCTGGCGGTCAGGTTTGATCCTTCCAAGCTTGTCAGCAATCCATTTAACGTTATCGTTGATAGGAACAGCTGTTTGCAGCGGTTGGAAGCGAAAGTGCAGTGCGCGGTGCGAGTAGATTGCATCCCTTGCCGTCCTCGCTTGGGTGGGGAAGACAGAGTGAGGGTAGATGTAGCCATCCTTAACCTGGAATTTCCTCTGCGGCTCCACAAACAACTGCTGGATGAGCTGGCTTTTCAGCGGAGGCATGCCAGCCAACGTAGAAGATCTATTAGCATTGGACTGGGAAGGGGCAGAGAGGGCTCGAATCAATCGGGGCGGGGATTTCCTTTTGTTGGAAGGGGAACGGGGGTCGGTCTGCACCCCAGAGCCCGACCCTACTCCCATTACTTTGTCTTTCCACGTGGAATGTTTCCTTCCCTCTTCCGTTATCCTTGTGTCCCATTCTCCTCCCTGGATGGGTTTCGGGTCTAGGTCGTTCCACAACCCAGATCCTGAACCCAGTTCCACCACTGTGTTCCAACAGGGTATTTTGATTCTGTTCCTCCGGCACTTTCGTCCCATCCTCTCTCCCCTGAGCCTTCTTCATTTGTGGCCCTCCCTTGTGCTCTTCCACAGGGGGGGGCCTATGAATATCATGAGTGTCCCGAGTGTGAACAAGGGGGGGGGCGGGGGGGTCATGCTTTTTTTCATTTACAGCATCCCCACCCTCTCCCTTTACTTCGGTGGTAGCCACTTCCCGCTTTTGAGAGGTCTGGTCGGGATGGGGGTTAACTTCCTGCGGTACAACCACGTGATCAGAAAGGAGGGGTGGCGGGTTTTGGTCGGCTTTCGACCTGAGAAGGCAGCATCGTCCCATTGTTGCCAATTGCCGCCTGAGAGGGACGATGTTGTTCCCCCAGGGGGGGTGTTGGCCTCGTCCCCGTCAGTTCTCCCTTCATCTGTTGCGCTCGTTTGTTCTTCGTCATCACCGGAGAGCGAGGCACCGAAACCGAGTTGTTTTTGCAGCGCAGGGTCAACCTCGGCAGGGGCCCACGGGCAGCACAAAGACTCTTAATGGACTATTGGTCAACGAGTTATTATTCACGCTTCAAAGCGATTCAAATTGTAGAGAGAGGATTAATCAGTGCAGGGACTCATTCAACACTAACTCCCTCAGTCCAAATTGCAGGCTGTCACGGTTCTTACAGGTAAGATCGTTCCAGATTTGATCGGGGATAGAGAGGGGAGGGCGGGGGGAAGGCAGGGCAACGGTTCTTACAGGTAAGATCGTTCCAGATTTGATCGGGGATAGAGAGGGGAGGGCGGGGGAAAGGCAGGGCAAAGGGAGGAGGAGAGAGGAAAAGGAGGAGGCAGGGCAAAGGGAGGAGCAAAGAGGAAAAGAAGTTTTGAGGAGGCTTGAGGATCTGAAAGCAGGGAGTGCAAACATGGGGGAGAGAAGAAAAAAGGGGGAGGCAGGGCAAAGGGAGGAGTAGAGAGGAAAATAAGTTTTGAGGTTTGAGGATCTGAAAGCAGGGAGTGCAAACATGGGGGAGGTCGTGAGTTTTCCACTGAGGTTTCACCGAGCAGGGCGACGCAACACTCCTCAGCAACCAGGCGTCGTTGTTTTCTCCAGAGACCCCTCCCGCGCTGATGTTGCTCGCTGGCTTGCTCGGTAGTCAATCTCCACCTTATCATACACCTGCCTTCCCGCCCTACCGCAGATCCACGGTATGCAGACGCCCCGGTGTTTTCCATCCCACCATGGCGTCTGTCGCCACTTCTCTCCCGACTGGTCTAGTCAGCCTGCAGGACGACGCATCATCGTCTGCCGTTGACCAGCGCGTCACGCAAACCCCTTGACCGACGCGCCCCCTTGTCACTCGTTCGAGCATAGGCAGCGTAACCCTCGGTTGCTGCCGTCATGTCACATATCTGCAGCCTTGTTCGCGCTTCCGTAGTTCGTAGTCTTCACTCCTCGCTCGTTTGTGTGCAGGCGCACAGCACCACCGTCATCCCACATGGAAGCTTGCCCGTTCAGGCCATGCTCAAACCACATGCAGAAGACCGGTTGACATAGCCGCCATCTCCTCCGTGGCTCGTGCGTGCCCTGGCGGGCGGGCCCTGGCGTCCGCGGGGCGCAGAGCGCTAGCGCTCACAGGTGTCTTCCTTGTCTATCGGCACGGGTGTATGTGTGTTTCAGTGTGCCTGTCGGGGTACATCATTCTTAATGTTATTTTGAGATGTGCAACCGTCTTGCCATCCGCGATTCATGGACTTCGGACTACGGGCCTCACCGCACCACTGTCAAAAATGTGATTTTCGACAGTTTCTCTTCTCCACACAGGCTGTCGAAGTCGGAGACGTGAAGAAAATTAGCCAGTTGTCAGAGAATGCTTCTCGACACCTCCTATCGAAAGTTGTTCAATCCCCAGCCTGCTACTCCGATGCTTTCAACACTCCTCGGCTGTGCCGTCGACTTCCCTTCGAAATTTGGTGAGTGGGGGTAAGGTCGGCATGGACTAATGCTTGTCGTACCGTCAGGCACGTTCATCTTTTTCCATCTTGCTTTCACAAGCGCGTGCACTCTACAGTGATGTGTGGCGAAGGGGGGGCAAACTGTCGAATGGAGGCTGTCGAATTTGTTCTGACAGCCATCGAATTTTTGTGCCTTTCGACAGTGGTGCGGCGAGGCCCGACATTTGAATTTCTTTGGGAATCGCCTGCAGTAACCCTGTTCAGAAGTAGCCTGGGGCCCAGAACTCAGCCCCAGGCAACGCAGACCTGAGTTAGTCTGCGCTGGGCTGTGTGACCAAGACACTCCCAGGCCTGAGTCTGTCCCGTTGGTTGTATGACCAAACGCTGCAAACAAGAAATTCAAAGGTCATAGTCAACTTTAGAGTCAAAGGTACTGCACCCAGGCCCTTGGTTGGATACACTCACTTGTTGTGCGCAGGTACCCAGACAAGCATCCATGCTGGAGGGAAATCGGTTTCAAACCAATCTGGGCCTTACTTGCATCAAGATCCGGATGSCTGAGGGTGGCAGCATCCGGGCTCCAGACCCTGAGTCAACGCTACTAAAGCGTTGACTTCCCTGRCTTTGACATTCCTTCTGTCTTGCGTTGATGCTGACTTCACGCGTTGACTTCAATGCTGGCTCGACGCTGCGACGTTGGCTCGACGCTGCGACGCTGGCTCGACTCTGCGACGCTGACATTGTGATTTGGCGAGGCGCTGCTGGTCCGACATGGTGGCTGGCTTGCACCTGTCTYCTTGGCATGTTGACATGGCGGCTGCCCTGCGCTGTCGCTGACGTGGCTGCTGCCACGTGTTCTTCTGTTCGCTGACGAAGCGAGGCTACGTGACTTATATTGCTATTCTGATTATCGACATTCGGGAGGAGATCGGGACTGTGGAGAGATTGTGGATACGTACCTGGTTGTCTTCATGCCGACATTGCTCCAGCGCTGATGAGGGACTGATTAGACGTGCCACGTGGCACATTGAGGTTACTTCAGATACTCGTTCAGACTATTGATTATAGATGTGGTGATTGAGGAGGAGCCCGAAGCAGGAGTGGGCCTTGTATTTTTTCCCTCTCCTTTGTCTAATCTCCCTCCTCTCTCCTTCGTCTGTGTGTGATTATCTCATCTCATTCTGTCTGGACACGATTTTGACTAATGGTAATTATCAGCTGATTGACATTCTTCTAGACTTGCATTGTTGACGACTGTCTTCACGATCTGGGTTTCATTGCAATTTGGTATCGGAGCAGTTTTCCTGACGACGACGATTGTACACGTGTGCACGCGCCAGGTGGCGCGCAGGTAAGTGTGGTGCACACGTGTGTTGAGTAGGTGATGACGTGGCAAGAGATACGTCGGGGGTGCTGACGTGGCACACTGGGGAGAAAAAGATCCCAACGAGGCTGCTGACGTGGCAGTAGGGACCGCAACCAACAAATACCGAGCGCAAATCTGGATCGCGATAGTGACGTGGCATATGTTGTGCCACGTCTGAAGACCTTGTTGATTGACTGCTGAAGTGGCACTTTTTATGCTACTGATGCGCGACAGGGTCTACTGCAAATGTTGACGTGGCCTTGGGGAAACACAGGATTGATTGCTGACGTGGCAGGAAGCAAGTCATCACACCTGTCTTCGTCAGGTGGTGACTATCGGCTGACGTGGCATCGGTCTCCTTGGCTGACGTGGCATTGTTTGACTGGCTGGAACGGTGACGGTATCGAGACGTGACGTGTGGAAGTGACAAGTGGCAAGGATCAGAGTACACATTTGTTGACGTGGCATCCCGCTATTGGTTGACTGGACACAGAGTGCTGACGTGGCAGTACATGCTATGTTAGCACTCCAGGGATGACACGTGGCAAGCAAGATTATTGCCAAGTAAGATAAGCATTATGAAGACGACGGCGGTACAGCTGACTGAACTGACTATACAACTGTACTGCCAGCTGTCAGGGAGAGTGCGTCATCGCACTGACATCAGGAAGACACAGTGGGTGGAAGAAGGTTGCTGACAAACTGTTTGTTGATGACTGTTGGCATACTTACTCTGTCGTTGCTGTGTTGTGGTGCTTGCGTACTTACTTGTGTGTTGTGTCTGATCACACGGGCCTGACGTGTTACCTGTACACTCATAGGATGTCATCACACAGACGAAAGAACAACAATTAGTATAAGTAGAGATCTGTTCCTTTTTATTATTTCTTTTTATTTTTTTGTTCCATTATTGCAAATATTTTCTTAAACCTGATTTCCAAGATGTTTGGTGTGTGGAAATTACTCTTGTTTCTTTTTCTGATAACATTCTTAGCGGGTGAAGGATCTTCCGAACCCAAGACTAGGAGACAGGCAGAAACAAAGAAACAAAAGTTACTTGCTCTATGGGACCAGCTAATGAATGATTTGAGTTTGTCCGGACCGGAATCTGAACGACAGGTTCGTAATCTGTTTGATTTGAAGACGGTAGAGAACCGTCTAAAGCAAGCATTATGGCCGCGGAAGTTGTGGCTGCCGGGACCGAAGTGTCTAAAATGATGGCCCTGTGTCGGAAGGCGCTGGACCAGTTTGCTATCAAGCAGCTGGAAGACGTCATGGAGTTGTCTAGAAAAGGGGAAATCAGACCAGAAGTGACCGAGTGTACGATTGACGTGAACATCCAGCAATTAAGAGAGGCACTGGCTGCAGAAGAGAGGAAAAAAGAAGAACTAGCCCGGAAACATGAACAGAAATTGAGGCGGGAACATAAAGTAAAAGAAATCGGACAAGTAATAGGAACAGAAGGAAAGGAACAGATTGACATGACACAGACGTTGTATCACATCATGACTTACCTTACCTTCTTGGAAGAAAAGATAGACGAACAACAAAATCAGTTAGATGAGATTGTTGTAGGATTGCGAACCATCACAAATATTGTGAAAGGAAAGCATCCAGTAGAAGGAGAAGAAGAAGTTAAAGAAGAGAAGAAAGAAGTCAAGAAGTTAATGAGTGATGCAATGAAGTCTGCTGATCCTCATGATCAGAAATTGTCTACTGGAGGGGGGAAGTCGTCTAATGGAGGGGGATCAAGTCCGCCGTCTTCTCCACCAAACACTCCTCCTGCCACACCTCCTTCCTCTCCACCTCCAAAGTCTCTGCAAGGTAAGATAAGTACGGAACCGGAGAAGCCGAAAAGAAAAGAAAAAGTGAAGATGAAATTGCCTTTTACGTTTTGTAACAAAAAAAATGAGAATTTGTTGCTCTAGATAGCCGAAATTCAGACGTAGTGTATTACGACCCCTGTTGAACCCGAGTCCCAAGTTGCTTTCTCTACCTGTTGTCTCGAGGGGTAAGCAAAGGAATGGGTTTTGGTCGAGGCTAACACAGCGGGGTTCGATGATATCGGGGAGTGGGTTGGGACATTGACTCTGAAGCAGTTCCTTGGCAAGATCAAGGAACGCTTCCTGGATAAGACAACGACCGACAAGACCTTCGACCAGCTAACTGTCGTTGGTCAAAAGCATTGGACCTCGGTAGAAGCTTTGTCTCGGGAAGTCGACCGGTTGCTGCAGGTTCCTGGATTGAACCTGCAAGACAACCAAGTTTTGTATATCTATTCCCGCGCTTTGCCTGAGCCCATTCATGGACAACTCGTGGCAGAATCGAAATCTGGTAAGTATAATTATAGGTAATTTCGTGATCTTGCTCTCCAGCGAGAGCAAATGGCTTCACAGGTTAAGAACTCGTATGCATCTGTTGTCAAGTTTGATGGTGGTGCAGGTGCAGAAAAGCAGATACTTTGGCGCCAAAAGCGCCAGGACCACAACCTCGTCGTCTTTGACGACGATACTGTGGAGAAGTGGCCCTTAGAGGTCGAGGGTGTAGCGAGCAGCAGTGATTCCGGGAAGGGGGAAGTCATTGCTGCCGTGGTCAACAAGGGAGGACCACGACCGCCAGTTAAGAAGAAGAAACCATGCTCGTTCCCAGAGCATCTCGGGATTGCAGTCGGGAAGCCATGGGAAAAGATGGGCCTGTCACATGAAACATGGCAGGAAAGAATGGATAATGCACAATGTTTGTGTGGTACCCCAGGGCATGTGATTGCATGGTGCCCACTTATCCGAAACCCAAAAGCGAGTCGCCAGTAGGAGTAGCATCTGCTCCTACTGAGTCTAAGGGTTTGGATCAAGAAGAAGGTAAGGCGCCTACTAACCCTTCCAACCCTTCGACTCACATGGCAGAGGATGGTTCTTCTTCGGCCCATCGTCCGGAACACCCTGAACCTGTCTTATATATTGTCCCTCTGGACGACTCTCTTGACGAGCTTGGTAACGAGTTGTTAGCATTACGAAGATCGTGGGCTAAGAAATCTAAGTCTAAGGGTGACCTACTACTTGCGGACGTAGAGATTGCACTCACACGAGTAGGTGCACTGTTGGACTCAGGATCAACGCGATCCTACATATCCGATAAAGCAATCCGCAAGTTGCATCTCGGACTAAAGGTAAAGAATTTGTCTCGCCCAATCACGTCTATCCTTGCTGACAAAAACACGATCACTGTCTCACAATATGTTGATCGTGTGAAGTGTCGATTCCGTACCAAGGAAAGAAATAAGATTGTTCACGAGGTTCTTTTTCTTTTGGAGAAGAAGTTACTTTTTGACTTGATTCTGGAATGGACTGGCACGAGGAAGCCAACCCAGATATCAAGTTCAAAGAAATAATCCAACTACGAGATGCACACTTTGAATTGAAACCTATCAAACTGTACCATAAGTCTGGCTCAGACTCTAGTTTGTCTTTCTCTTGTATGAGTTATCCAACATTCCGATCGATGGTTTCAAAGAAAAGGTTGGAACATGAAGTAATTATGGTTTTAGTAAAAAGAGCAGGTGAGTCTTCTACTTCCTATCCTCCTTCGACCGAAAAACTCCTAAGTGAGTATAAATATTTATTCACTGAACCAACAGGAATAACTGAACGTGCTATTAAGCACACAATTGAATTTTTTTCTGCCAGTAAGATTCCCAATGGCCCTATATATCGAATGTCTCCTAGGGAACTTGAGGAATTGCGAAAACAACTGCAAGACTTAACAGAAAAAGGATGGATTCGCACGAGCTCCTCTCCTTATGGTTCCCCTGTCTTGTTTGTGTCCAAAAAGGAAGGTGAGTTACGTCTCTTTATTGACTACAAAGGGTTGAATGTTGTCACTGCTAAGAATGTTGAACCTCTACCTCAAATTGACGACTTGTTAGACCAGTTGCATGGTTTTAAGTATTTTAGTAAGATTGATCTGAAGTCTGGATACGATCCGATCGAGGTGGAACCCACGGATCAACATAAGACCACATTCCGAACAAGGTATGGCCATTACGAGTTTGTGGTAATGCCCTTCATACTGACTAATGCCCCAACGACCTTCCAAAGGTCTATGAATGAACTTCTTCGTCAATGGTTAGACAAGTTCGCAATTGTCTATCTCGATGATATTCTAGTGTACAGTAAGACACTAGAAGATCATGAGAAGTACCTTCGTGTGGTGCTAGAGAAGTTGTGAGAGGGCAACTTCAAGATCAATTCCAAGAAGTCAGAGTTTGCTAAGTCCGAAATGTTATACTTAGGACACATAGTGAGCGAAGAAGGTCTAAGGCCGAAAAACAAAAAGATTTCAGCAATTAGAGATTGGCCACAACCTAAGTCTATAACTGAATTGCGATCTTTCCTTGGTTTAGCCAGTTACTACAGGAAGTTTGTCAGAAACTTCTCCTTGATTGTTGCACCAATGCGAAGATTGTTAAAAACAGGAACTATTTGGTTGTGGGATAAGGACTGTGAGTCTTCCTTTCGGAAATTGAAGTATGTACTAACTCACTACCCTGTCCTTAAGATTGTTGACCCATCCTTGCCTTTCATTGTTACCACTGACGCAAGTCAGTATGGGATTGGCGTTGTTCTCCAACAGGATGATGGCAAGGGCTATAGGCCCATAGGGTTTATGTATAAACGATTGTCGTCAGAGAAGGTCGCCAACTCCACCTATGAACGAGAACTTTATGCCTTAGTCTGTGTGTTGGATACATGGCGACACTACCTACTAGGGAGACACTTTACTTTGTATTCAGACCACTCGACACTACAGTGGATAAAGACACAGTCTAGACTCTCGGACAAGTTGGTAAGATGGTCTGTCTTCATTGACACCTTTGACTTTGAGCTCAAAACTATCAAAGGTAAGTCTAATGTGGTTGCAGATGCTTTATCACGACGCAGCGACTTCTTTGCTACAATTGTCTCATACTTGGATATTGGGAATGACTTAAAAAACCAGATTCGTCAAGGATACGCTAATGATCCAATTTGGAAGCCAATTATGGATGTCCTTGCACGAGATCCTTCCCAATTACCCAACTATAGAATAGCCGATGGTTTGTTTTTCTTGATAGACCAAACAAAACAAAGATTGTGTACTCCTCACTAAAAAAGAATCAAGAGTCTACTGATTGGGGAATGTCACGACTTTGAAGGACACTTTGGATTCAAGAAAACTTACGCAGAGGTTAGAGAACGCTTCGAATGGAAGAGATTAAAAGAAGACGTACTAACTTATGTACGTACCTGGCTGGTGTGTTAGAGAAACAAGCCAACGCATGAGAATCCTTTTGGACTTCTCAGGCCATTACCTATACCAAGCGAAACAGGTGAGTCCATCTCAATTGACTTTATGAGTCTGGTTAAAAGTCGCAACGGTAATAGTCAAGTGATGGTGATTGTGGACCGTTTCTCTAAATATGCTATGGTTATTCCCTTACCTCCTGAAGCAAGGACTAACTTGTGATCCAAAAAATTCAGATGAAATGGGTAACTGAGTATGGTTTTCCTTTATCCATTGTATCTGATCGAGATACCAAGTTCACAAGTATGCCATGACAAAAGTTGATGAAGGCATACGGCACACGTTTGACCATGTCGTCAAGACGACACCTTGAAAGGAATGGGCAAAGTGAACAAATGAACCGATTGTGGCGCATGTTTATAAGACTTGATCAAATTGATTGGGATGAGAACTTACCCAAGATAGCCAGTGCATATAATAGCAGTGTCCACACCACTACATGACGAACTCCTGATGCACTGCACAAGGGATGGAAACCTAGGCGTTTTATTGATGCATTAACACGGGACCAATTCCTTAGGCTACCTCCAGGGACACGAGAATATGCAATTTTATTTCAAGAAGACATAAAGAAAGTAAAAGAAAACTCAAGACCAAATGATTGAACAAGCTAATAAGCATAGACGACCATCCACATTCAAAGAAGGTGATCTGTATCTCAAAAACTGCTGCCTGTCTATTTTGGACTCTGGGAAGTTCTCAAAGTAATAGGAGATGCAGAGGAACAGTCTTATCGGATTGATATTCCCCATCATCTCAAAACATACCTTGTCTTTCACGCATCCAAGTTATTACCGTATGTGGAAGGAAATGAGTTTCCACATAGACCTTCTATGATTCCACCAGACATGGATGGCGGATATGAGGTAGACCGAATCATAGAGCATGGTTACTTCTCTACGGGAGGACGTGGATGACCTCAGAAGCAGTTCAAGGTACGTTTTAAGTCTCACGCACCATCTGAGGACAGATGGTTCAGTAAACGAGAACTAATTGAAACTGCTCCTGATATTGTCGCTGCTTATGAACGAGGGTTAAAGTCTTAAATATTTCTGCGGTTGAACTCGAAAATGGGCAGGCAGGAATGCAGTAACCCTGTTCAGAAGTAGCCTGGGGTCCAGAACTCAGCCCCAGGCAACGCAGACCTGAGTTAGTCTGCGCTGGGCTGTGTGACCAAGACACTCCCAGGCCTGAGTCTGTCCCGTTGGTTGT